AGTAATTATTATTAGTTGTTATATCATAGAAAATTGTCAAGGACGCTATTTGTTACAACAATAATACGATATGTGAAGAACGTAAAGCAATTGTTCGTGGATAAACATAGAAAATGTGACGTTGTCAAATTATTATATTTGAAAAAAGCAATTCGTATAATAGACAAATGTCACATCAAAATAATACTAAATCTTTTTTCCCGTTTGCTCTTTTTTCTAGGAACGCCTTCGACTCCGATAATGCCAGGTGGTACACCCAGTACACCATCCTCTAAAGCAAAGGTAAGTCGATGATCCGTTAAAATGGAAACTTCCTCATTCTTTTATCATTTTTTACGTGATCCATGCAAATTAATTTTGTCTCGCAGGAAAAGATAATGTTGCGGGCGAAAGTTGTGGTGGCTCTGTATCCTTTTCGAGCTATCGAAGGCGGCGATTTGTCTCTCGAAAAGGTAAGAATGAAACAAAATTGTGTGTGTGTATACAAGATGATCCAGAACCAACTGAAGGAGCCAAGGTATGTACGTCCTCTACTATTTTGCAATTTTCACAATCTTTTTTTTAGTTATTCAAGAAATAGAATATCTAAAATCGATGACATTTTTAGAAATTTTTTAAGAAATATCTTTGAGAGACATCTTAATTTGTTGTTCTATAGATTTTACCCACTTATTCAGCAATTTTTAGAAATATTTCGTTAATTGTTGTGACTATTGCAAAATGATACAGGACTTTTCGATTCAGTTTTTAATAAATACAGTACGTACATGCCGGTTTCTCCGGCTGGTCTGGATCACCTTGAATAAAAAGTTATAAGTTGTTACAATATACATATAATATTATAACATGTTTATAATATATAACACACACATATTATATTAAATTAAAAATAAATATATAGAATATATTTATTACTTCTATTTTTATGAGTTCAGGGTGCAGAGTACGAAGTCTTGGACGATTCCCAGGAGCATTGGTGGAAAGTTAAAGACGAGAATGGGTATGTAATTCTTTTTCGAAGTAATGTTTTAAAAATTGCATCTGCACGACCACACACGCACGCGCGTGCGCATACACACTCTTAGCTCTTCTTTAAAACTTCTTTACGGCAAACTAGCTACGTTTTATCTATATTTGTTTTATCTTACACATCATCGCGGTAACAGCGATTAACCGCCAATCGTAAAAAAAATAATTGGTTGTACAAGCGGAGTTCGCAAACAATAAGTTTAATGATACTCTTGTATAATCATCAATAATTATTCGTAATAGCTGGATTGTTTACTTATGCATTTAAAATATGCATACGCGGTGAAAAACGAGTTACACAAAGTTATATGACGCGCATTTCATTGCAGATCGATCGGCTATATTCCTAGTAACTACGTTAAAGAGAAGGAATTATTAGGACTGCAGAAATACGAGTAAGTATAATCTTTGAATTCAAATCACCGAATTTAATATTTCTTGGATTTCATAATACCTTTTTGATTTTTCAATTTCTTCGAGTTATCAGTCAAATATTTTTCCACTAAAACACAGCATTCCCACTTAAATTGTAGGATAATACATGATAGGAGTAAAAAAACGGTTCCACTTGCTGTTGTAGATGGTACGTAGGTGATATGTCAAGGCAACGCGCCGAGTCACTACTAAAACAAGAAGATAAGGAGGGCTGTTTTGTTGTTCGTAACTCATCGACGAAAGGACTTTACACGCTCTCACTTTATACGAAAGTGTAAGTTAACAAGTGGCTTCCACTGACTGGTTCTAAATTGTTTCGCATCCTTCGACTATCGATAAACTTTTTGCTCTGCCGCAGACCACATCCCCACGTGAAGCATTACCACATTAAGCAAAATACCCGCGGAGAATTTTACTTGTCGGAAAAGCATTGCTGCGGCTCCATTCCCGATCTAGTTAATTACCATAGACACAACAGCGGTGGTCTAGCCAGTCGATTAAAGACTAGTCCCTGCGATCGTCCTGTACCACCGACTGCCGGGCTCAGTCATGGTTTGTAAAATTTCTATACGTGGACCTTCTCCACTCCTTAATATATCCCTTCCGAAATATATAAAACACATAAGAGATATAAAAAAAAGCTTCTCTCTCTATATATATGACGCTACATAACGGCTGGCGACCTTTTTACAGACAAATGGGAAATCGATCCAGCGGAATTACATTTGCTAGAGGAGCTTGGGTCCGGCCAATTTGGAGTCGTACGGAGAGGAAAATGGCGCGGCTCCATCGATGTCGCCGTGAAAATGATGAAAGAAGGAACCATGTCCGAGGATGACTTTATAGAAGAAGCTAAAGTGATGACGTAAGTCTCAATCTAATTTTCGTATTGAGACTTTCAATGAACAACTAGACATCCGACTGGAATCCTTTTAATTAAATCAAAAACTTTATGATACTACAACTTATTCTCTAAATAATATCGATATTGATCGTTTGTGCAGAAAACTGCAACATCAAAACCTAGTCCAGCTATACGGCGTTTGCAGTAAAGATAGACCAATATATATTGTCACGGAATACATGCGACATGGATCTCTTCTCAACTACCTACGCCGTCATGAAACTTCATTAGGTGCAAACGTTGGCCTCTTGTTAGATATGTGTATACAGGTAACGTGAATTCCGTTCTGCAGACATGTGGCAGTCAACAAAATTCTAAATTACCAAGATTTTCTAAATCTTCTACATTATATTTACATTGCGCTTTGTACAGGTTTGCAAAGGAATGGCATATTTAGAGAGGCATAACTATATACATAGAGATCTTGCAGCACGTAACTGTCTGGTGGGATCGGAAAATGTAGTAAAAGTTGCAGATTTTGGTTTAGCTAGGTATAAACTAATTTATTGTTGTATTTCTATATTTTACAAAAATAGAAAGCTCAATGTAAGCGAGTATTAAAATTTAACTGACAAGTGATGAATATTTTTCAGGTATGTACTCGATGATCAGTATACCAGTAGCGGTGGCACTAAATTTCCTATTAAATGGGCGCCTCCGGAAGTTTTAAATTACACGCGCTTCAGTTCGAAATCGGATGTGTGGGCATACGGAGTACTTATGTGGGAAGTGTTTACGTGCGGAAAGATGCCTTACGGTCGCTTAAAGAATACGGAAGTTGTCGAGCGAGTGCAACGAGGAATTATTTTGGAACGACCTAAAGCGTGTTTCAAGGAAGTGTACGAGGTATATAAATTGTGACGTTTTTCCGTTTCCCATTCTCTATTGTGTACAGAATGACAAGTTTATGGATTTGAATTTCAGGTGATGCGCAAGTGCTGGGCTCACTCTCCGGAAGTACGACCGTCATTTCGCGTCTTGAAAGAGCAGCTGATTAGCGTCTCCCAAGGATTGGTCAACGATTGACTCAACCTTCTGCGGTGTATGCGCCTGTCCTCACCATCCTGCCGATCGATCCGGTCGACGGCGAAATCGTCGCCGTCGTCGGAACGATTGCCCTCCGCCGGTCTACCCTCGTCAAATTTGCCGTACAGTTCAGCAACGTTGCCGTCGCGCAAGACACGCGCGCCGGCTTCCCCGCCGCCTTCCACGATCGATTTCCCTCGTCGTTTCTCATCGACTATGTGCAAATCAAAAAAGGAGGGCTCCTCGTCGCCGAATACACCCGGGCATCAAGCTAGTCAACAAAAACCATCTTCGAGCTCGACTAATAACGTGTGTGACGTTTGCAGTTCCTACGGACACCCGTGGATTGAAATATGCAAGGCGATACGAGCCACTAAAGGTAAATGAGTAAAAAGAGTGTGTGTACGTGTAATTGAGTAATTTACACTACTCTCCATTGCGACTATTAGAGAGCCGTACCCGTAATATGGAGATGTGATTCTAACTAAACCCATAAGCGTTAATGCCTCACTTCTTTCATCTACCCTTCTCCATTTACTCCTGCTCCGTGTGCATCTCCGAACATCTTGGACAGATGTTCCGTATGTAACGCGACTTCATTCGATATTGGGGTGCGTGATACTACGTGCGTTTCACACACTGTTTTTCCCATATAATTTTTAGACTTTACTCTGTATTGTCATAAATACATTTAAATAGAACAATAGTATTTATTGATGGCCTTTGCAACAGATGCAATATTCAACTTGTGATTCCGCTTAGAATAAATCATTTTTTATTATTATTTTGACAAAAATAATAACACAACTTTGAATCAGAGATATTGTTTCTGCTTAATAAACCGATTTAATAAGTAAACTGTTTCCGTTTGTTTATACTTGATACTTACAATTATAACCATCATAATTATAATAATAAACAAAATTGCGAGAAGAGGAAAAAGTAAAAGATATAAAGCAAGCTTATATTTTATTTTAACGAATTGATTGAACGTAATACTTATTTGGAGTTAGCCTAATGGAAAATCATGAGTGGTAAGTAATGTACATATCATTCGCATTAATTACTCTTATTGTAAATTTCATTACAAATTTATAAATTATAAATCTTGTATAAAATGTAAATACAATTAAGTAGCATATATGTATAATAAAATTAAACAATTTAAAATACGTTGTGGATCGATAAATCAAAGAAAGTTAGTCTGCTAAAAATATATATTCCAAGATTTTCATGATAAATATAATGGGAGTAAACATTTCTTTTAAAGCGTAAATGGTATAGATCACATTTATTAAAACTATGCTCGACTCATTTACAAACTTTCTTCGATACGAGTATAAGAGAAAACTTTTTTTTGTGTAATCCGACATAAGAAGTGAATCTGTCGCTCGAATATCGAGCTTTCAAGGACAAGTAGCACTGGTATCGTAAATATAACAAAAAAAAAGTACTTTTCTCTAATACATGATATTTCTAATTAAATTAAATTACATTCTCTCTCTATTTTTATAAACAAATGATGAATGCAATAGATTTTGGTCACTTTTGACAAAAGGCATTAAAAATGCAGGAATCTTTTTAAGCCTTTTTTACAAGGAATTTATCATTTGCCTTTTGATGTCTGCAACAAAAAATATGAAGGATTACGCATATTTTACAGTTAAATAGGAATTATATCTAGATTGAATATATTTTGAGACTGTTGTAACGTTATAACGTTACAATTGGTCGATGTGCTTTTGAAGGCATTATATATATATATAAAAAGTTATACAGCTGTACTAGATGAATTTTCGGAAGTTAATTATGTACGTACAGAAAGTACGGGATACAGAAATGTAGTGATGCTCTTCTCCGTATATCCCGATTGTACTTTGCAAATATATTCACCCATATCGGGCCAATCAACATCCGTTATCTGTAGATCGCCACTAGGTAGAACAGTATGTCTCTCATGTGTGGTGGGACTTATGATTTTGCTCGAGCTATCTAACCAGAATAGATAAGGCGTCGGTTGGCCCACGACTCTGCATGGAAGAATTATTGTGCTGTCATCACGAGCGAATCTCCAAGAGGCATGCAAGGTGATAGTGGGCTGACTCTCACTGTTGCATTCGACAGCTTTGGTACCTAGTAGATAATATAATCAAAAAATTCCATAGCAATAACATAATCTATTCAGTTCAATAACAAAATATATTGTTTCGCTTACTATTAACGAGGAGTACCGTCGGCGTTGATTGAGCCACTACATTTTTAGATACAGACACACAATACTTTAAACCTTGATCTTCAACTCTGACGCAATCAATCACATATGTGGAAGTGATTTGACTGAGCCCTTCCCATTCCTTGGATATATCATTGCTCGCTTCTTGAGCCCGCACGGTCAACTCCTGAATCTGCGAGAGGAACGGTGTGTGGTGTATATATATATATATATGTGTGTGTGTGTGTGTGCATATAAAGAACACGTTTTGCTATACAACTCCTTTATCATAAACCACCGAAGATATCTTTCTCAACATTAATTAGCGAAACCGACCTGCCTTTCCGGCTCGTTTCCTGTTATCCAATAAACCTGGGGCGGCGGATTTCCAACTACTTGGCATTGCAGCTCGACGCGACTCCTAAATGAACACGAGAGGAATGCGATCACGTTACTTTCGCGTCTATGTGTGCACTAAAATCGTTACTTTATCGAAGCAGTATATATATTTACCCAACGGCGACTTCTAAGGAATCCGGTGGATTTTGCAAAATTCTGGTCCACGTCGTCGTGAAGCCGCTCTAGAACCAAGATATATGTTACAGAGAAATTCTAGATACAAAGTGGAAAAAGAGAATTCGGTACGTTGTGTGTGATGAATAGAGTCAAAAGTGGCGCGGCGGCTCTTTCAGTTGACGAAAGAGGGATCATGAAAAGTTGAACGAATTTAAATGTTCATTGATTGAAATGATGAACGGAATCGACGATATACATATACGCCGCGCGTAACTGGAACATGATTTTTCTAATTTTTAAATGATTTGAAATAATTTGATATTTTTTCGCGCAATCTTATTTTCCACACTTTTGTTCTTATACTTACGTATATAAGTTAATTATATTTATATTCCAAGTTGAAGCGTTGTTTTACATATTTTGTTTTATATAGTTAAAAATGTTGTTAAAACTAGTAAATAAGAAACAACTTGAATAAGACCCATAACGAGTCACATATAAAAAATATGTGTCCATTATGGAGAAACATACCTTCTTGATGCTAGCCGGTTTAATCTCACTTTTTAGTCTATTCGATGCGCCGGACTGGTCGACGTTCGCCCGCGTGTACGATGCATTCGTCATCAGGAAGAATGTTAAAGGACTTCCGAAGGCTACGTCGATCGCAACGACGAGCGTCAAAAGATACGCGAGACACAGCTGCATCTGAAAAGAATCAATTGCACGGAAACCTGCCGTAATATGTATTGAAATTAAATCAAGAAATATATACGAAATATCCAGAGATTTTCCCCAAACGGGGAACAAGGGCGTTTCGCAAAGTCTGCGAACGATATATATAACCGAATTAATTACGCCATCTTTACAGTATCGAATTAACTGCAGAGAAGTCCGAAGAACTGGATAATAAAATACGAAAGACTTTGCGCTGAAGAAATATTCGTTAACGCTCAATAAAACACATACAATATAATAAAAGGATTTATTAAAATCGTTTACGGAAATACACTGCAACGATAAAAGTTTAAAGCCTATAGCGGTCAAAGCTGAATTTTAGACGCTTAAACAATTTCCTCGGGAATTTATATATGTAGTCGTTTGAATATTTCTTATATTTTAGATATCATGTACAATATATGTTTGGTGTCTCTCGCTAAGCAGATCCTCCCCAGTCGTATCAATCCTTGAATAAACTTTCTTTAACGACAGTGTGAATCATTTATTGTACTAAAGGAAAAATAACTCTGCTTCAGAGTGAATCATTATATATATATTCGTTGGAATGCAGCTTAACTCTCCGACATGAAAAGAAAGAGATAAGATGAAGTAAAAGTGCAAGTTGAGCTTAAAAAAAAAAAAAAGAAAAGAACAGGTCTTAAATTATTAAAATTCTGTCCAAGTAAAATTTCTACCTGAAAACAATGGAGGAAGGAATCTTATCGTCCGCTCGTCCCATGCGTGGCTTAGTTAACAAAAGACTCCTCGATCGCTCACGATTAGAGAACAGTAGATACCTTCCTGCGAGAGAGGGAAGCGCTGACTCAGAGGTGCGCTTAGCGAGGAAACACCCTGTATGCACGCGCGCGAATAAGTAGCGATTAATTTACACCGAATCGAGCAACCGCCTTAATATCTCGTGTCTCGGCCAACTGGTGAAAAAAAAAAGATACACGAATGAGAGCGATAGATGCGTGTTCTGCCGTGATTGCATCAGCCGTTTCAATCCGGCGGATTAGCAGCCACCTTGCAATGGAGAGGGAAACGACACGTGCGCGAAGGTACGCTCCATTCATGCGGATGTCTTAATTTTTCTTCTTTCTTGCGGAAACGCGTAGCTTTCGTCCGATGAGGGTCCTCGCGAGGGAGATTTGCAAGAGAAAAAGAGATCTTTCGTCGCGCGGGATACTTATATATAAGCAACCGAAATCCGACTGTTTTTTTAAGGAATTTTTTGTAACCGGACCCGCACACGCGGAAAGCTATAATAAAACGCGAAGAGAATTTGCAAGCCATGAAGTATCGAGCCGATATCGAGTCGTACGCTTATTATATATCGAGACGAATCGAGTGAATTAATTTTTGGTGCGTTAAAAGACGCTCTCGGCCGGCGCGGCTCGGCTTTTATATAGATATATAGTTTCGCGCGATTAAAGCTGGAAGAACGCACGTGTGTGACACTTACCTCTCTCTTCTCAGTATGCGTGCGTGGAATAGTGCGGGCGCTGCAGACGACCGATGTGCTCGGTGGTGAGTCGGAGGTGGCGAAAAGAAAAAAAAGGGGAAGGAAAAAGGAAGAGAAGCAGTTTGTGTCAACTACTGCGGTGAACCGAGAGACTCGACTGAACGACGATATAACAGTTATTGGTCCATTTATATATTTCGAATGTACCAGCGGGCGCCCTTCCCTTTCCCCGATTGGCCGTTATTATCGGGAGTAGGGCGATAATACCACCAGCAAACAATCGAATTCATTATCTGCCACGGGTCATTTGTACGCGCGTAATAGGTATCTCCCCAATTTGCTTCCTCCGCCCTCATCTAGGCTTCCCCTCAATCGATATTTATGTCAAAAGAATGATACAATAATTACTTTTATTGAAAGAGCGATCATATCGAGAAGAAGATGACTCCAATTATCCTTCAGGTCCATCCACCACCGCCGCGTCGCCGCGCCGCGCCGTCCGTGCGCCTCATATAGAAATATTTTTCAACATTTCTCCTCCTCTTTCTTCCCTCTTTAAGAGAGCGACAAAGACAGCATATCTCGACAATCCGCATGGTCAGCTTTAATTAACGTGTTATATAGATGAAGGGCATTCCTGCGGGGATGGATTTTCACGAAAGTACTTAATAAGAACTTATCTTGATCACCAAGTTAATTCTCGCGAAAATGTGTATATATACGTTTAAGAAAAGATATGGCTATATGTTATTAATGCAAACTCGCGCGCCGCGCCGTATTCTTGCGATCGCGTTTTTCTTTTATTATCACACAAATCGATCGCGCAACTGTATTTTCGCTCGGCCGTTTTATTAAGTCGCGGTAATATTTCGCCGTTATCGTTGAATTTATCTTAACGTCCGCGAATCCGATCCGAATGCGATCCGAAATATGCGGTCAATCGCGAAGACGAAGCCTCGGTGGTAAGGAAAGCGTTGTGTTCGCGTTAAAACAGCTGTGCCGTCAAATTTGGATTTCGTCAGCAGTATCGAGGTCGTTACCTCAAATTTTACGGACCGTGCTACCTAGTAGAGGTGGCTCGAAAAGCACCAGTTATTAAATTATCCTCGACAATAATGGAGATTGTTTAACCCGTCGGCGCATTACTTATAATGTTTAATCGACCGTTCAATAAACTGCATAACAGTATATATGATATATATATATATATATATGTGTGTGTATTTCCAAAGCGCCTTCGTTACGTTCTCGCGGGTGTGTGTTACTCTCTTGCGCGATAATTAGTTCCTTTTCAGGGCAACGCGGACGATACGCTCTTTGTGTGACAGATTGCACAAAATGGTCTTTCGTTACGCGCAATTTCAAATAAAACATCCTATCCGCGTGTGAGACCCGATGATGTCGTAGAAACAGTAAATGTGCGCGTTCGTTAAATTCCAATAATTTCATCATTTGTACATATATATCTGTTAATATATTTTTTCTCAAATATTCATATTTTATTCTAAATTTCTTTCTTGTGGAGATGTGTGTGTGTGTATGTGCATATCAAAATAATTTTATATCGTATAAGATATGTTTAAATAATTTTATATTTTAAATTTAATAATACATAAAGTGTGTGATTAATACATTAATTTAATTATTCAAATATTTCAAAATCCGCAAGTTTTAGAAAGAAATTTTATAAACAAAGGTTGTATGGTCTGGAGATGAGAGACGCGAATAATGATAAAATTAATTTTCGGAAAAAACCAATTTTTTCAAGTCATATGAAGATGATTGCTATTCCTTTATATTTTTCTAATTATTCTTTATATAGAAGTATGAAAGTAATATTATATCAAAGAATGAATAGTTTACGAGATATTTTATACTGACACATTTTTTGACATATATAAAATATCTTATAAACTATTTATTTTTTTATAACTTTAATACTTCTTCGTGTATAGAGATGATTTAATCCAATTATTGTACAAAAAAGTACATCATTGTTTTTGGAAAAATTATATAATTTGCAATGTGAAACTACGTAATTTTATTTAAAAAGCAACTATATGTTTTCCTTATTACCAATTGAGATTCATTTTACCATGTTCCACGCATAAAGTATTAAAATAGAGTTACGAAAAAATCCATGCATTGTTTACTGATATTTTTCATTTCATGTCAAAATACACTAGAATAAAATATAAAATTAATAAATAAAATATTTTTTATAATTTTTTAGACAATTTTACTTTAATACTTTTATGTGTCGTGTAATTGGAGAAATCATATTATGCAAAAAATATATACTTTTAAAAAATTACGATAATCTTGAACAATTTTTTATTTTTTTTAAGAATTGATTGTATGTATCATTATTTGTTTCCCTTCAGACTATACAACTTTTGTTTAAAAATTTTCCTTTTAAAATTTACAGATTTTAAAATATTTCAGTGGCTACATTAAAATAAGCCACCCTGTACATTATAATATCATATTAAATTTCATATTACAGCATACATACATATATATATTTCTGTAATATGAAATTCTGGAATATCGTCACACACGCACATACGCGCGCGCGCGAGCACACACACACACACACACACACAAGGTGTCCCATTTAAAGCTTTGGACATAATTCTCTCAAACCCTATTCTTGTTATTCCAAAAAATTGTTTTAAATTTAAGTGAAGTTACTTGGTTTCGAAACGGTCATCTTTTGATGATAAATCCTCTTTAGATGGATGTACCTCCAAGATTTTATGGTAACCTTCATTTTTTTAATGGAATTATATAATTTCTTTTACATAAGACATGATTCTTTTAATCATTCTGCATATAAAAAAGTATTAAAATAGAAATATAAAAAACATCAATAGTTTACAAAATACTTTATATTTTATTTTATTCTGACACATATTGACGTAAAATATAAAATATTTCGTAAATCATTAATTTTTATATAAACATACCTTAATACGTTTTAATACAATGAGATAACTTTAATGTAAAAAAAAGAAATACGTAATTGCTTTAAGAAAATATGTAGGTAAAATGAATAATATTGTAAGTAAGCAATTACGTATTTTGTTTACATCAGTTGATTTATCTTATTATCCTGTTTATAAAAATATTAAGGTACGATTATAAAAAAATTAATAATTACGAGACATTTTAATATTTCATGTCAAAATGTGTCACAATAAAGTATAAAGTATCTCATAAATTATTGATTTTTTTGTATCTCTGCCTTAATATACTTTTGAGTACAGAATAATTAAAATACTAATTAATGATATGCTTTATAAGATTTATAAATAATATGAAACAAGAATCACTGTAATAAAGATTAATTGATGAACAAATTTTTTATATTTTTTGATATCTTTTTTTATTAAATATATATATATATATATATATGTCAAATATATTTTATTTTCTATATCAACGTAATAAATATATAAAGTTTAGTTAAAACTTCAACTATGCACAGTGATTATACAAAATTACATTTAACGATCAATTTATAAATAATTAATCCTGAGACTATGATTGCCTTTACAATATACTAAAGAAGAAATCAGATAAACAATAAATATAAATCATTATTTATATTTGCTGTATATATTAATCTTGTCGTGTATCGAAGGATATTTATAGACTTACGCGGCATCCTCAATCGGATTTAATAATACCCATAGTTATGAAACGTATCAATCATAGTCATTCCATTCTTCAAAGGAACAGCTATGATTAACCAGTTTTATAACTGTTGTTATTAAACCCGATTAAGGATACCATGTAAACATAAACATACTATATTTATCAAAATTATATAGTCTTATACAATTTTTTATGCATATAATTTGAGGTAGTATTTTTAATATTATAATAAAGGATCCCGCACTAATCATATAGAAAATTAGGTCCCGGTGAAATAAGTTACTTTTCACACATAATGTGATAAACAAAAAATATTATAGATACAAGGCTCAACAATAGATAGTTTTTGAGCCACTATGTACATAAAGTATTCTGTGAGCACAAGTTTTATAGCTTTGATACATCATGACTCAAAAACTATTCACCATTGAGCCTTTAACATTTTTTTTTACTACGTTATAAGTTACATCATATGTGAAATTCATTTCACCGTCATCTAATTTTTCACGTAAGTATAAATCTACAACTTAATTCTCGGCCTATTTAACCAAGTTTCGATGTGAAATTATAAAAGAACGAATATTAACCTAGTGTTCAAAGTAATCTCGTTCACTTTCCACACATTTTCTTTCAGGTAACTGTCGAATTCCGCTTCGGAAAAAAGATTGTTGTTTTGAGTCGATGAATTCTATAATGTTTCTTTCGATTTCTTCGAAAGACTTGAATCGAAAATCAACCAGATGATGTCGGAGGGTCTAGAAAAGATGTAATCCATAGGTGCTAAGTCTAGAGAATACAGGGAGAATTTCCCAGTCCAAATCGGAGATGACTTTTATCATTGATTTTGCCAAATGCGCCTGCGCATTATCTTGCAGTAAAATTACTTTTCTTCTTCCAACGCCAGTAAAAGATCTTTTTATTTCAAGGGCGTCACTCTTAGTTGAATCAGTTGCTATTGATAACGCTCAGTAGTGACAGTTTTCCCAAGTTGGAGCAGCTCATAATAAACAACGACCTTCTGATTTCACCAAATACACAGCATTATTTTTTTACCGTGAACGTTTGGTTTTGCAGTGCTGGTTGATGGTTGACACAAATGAACTCAAGATTTTCGTCTCTTTGGATTATCATACAGAACCCATTTTTCATGAGTCAATATTTCGTGTAAAATGTCTTTTTTTTAACCTCGACAACACAAATAGCCATATTGTGGGGTCTCTTCTTATTTTTAGTCGTTCGAACATGTGAAACCCAACGATTCTCCTTTTGAATCCTACAAAGTTTCCGCAAACGTTTTGAAATGGTCACGTTCAGCAGACTTAACTATTGCGGAGCAGATCTGTGAGCGATTTAGATTTGCAGCTCCTATTGTACCTTATTTTAAAGCTTAAGGATGACGCTTCAAAACGACTGTATGACGAGAAAAGATTCAAATTTGAATAAGTGGTATAATCGATTGAATATAGGGGCCGAGAAATAAGTTATAGACCTAATAATAGGTTTCTTTGTGTATATATATATATATATAATTACATCTTGCGTTAAGAAAACACGAATGAGATCTCGTTGTGTTGGGTATTCGTGAATTTGGATTAAAGCTCGAAGCTTAAAATAACTTATGGTGATTTCATAGTGTTGATTTCGCCTTTACAGATTTCAAATGTTACTGCGTCTGAGACTTGTAAAGTTGGTATACTGAAAATACGGTGAAAATCTTCTTGTATCTTTATCTTATCTTTAGAAATTTCTGATTTCACCATCGACCTGAAAATATTCTCAGATTACAATTATCTTACAGAATACTGATTGTTAGGTCTAACGTGATATACTTACAAATCTGTACACAATTGCATAAGATGCTGCGGCAAGTAATATCGTGCATGAGGAGAGAGATCTAAGAATGGATCATTCACGTTTGCTGTGCTTTCTAATCCTTCAAACCTGCAATACCACGAATAGTTGAATATATGCAATTTGAAAATTACAAAAATAATTATGGAGCTTACCTTACAACAAAATGTCTGCGGTACTGACGCGGGACCTCATTTATTTTGCTTTTTGCCACTTCAAGTACAGCGCGAAATGATATATCGCGGAAATCATGTATTTCATAGTATTTACTCAACTTATCTAAGCTTGATTCGTTGTCTCTTGCGTTTGATATAACGACGCTTCTCGTAAATGGTGTATCTATCCAAACGACGCGGCATCCATTGTCAAATAATTTAGTAAACCACGAAACAGTACCAATCCTGGCAACATCGTTCCATACAGTTCCATTATGCCAGTCATGCACCTTTAAGAATAATGATCGTAAAGAGAACATATTTAATATTCAAGTCACATCACTTTGTATCACACAAATGCAAAAACTTTAATAAGGAAATAGTTAATAATTTTAGAAATTGTGATAAACAATGTTACATGTAAAACATATTATTGACTATTATTGCTGCAAAACTTACAGAACAAGAGCACATTTTGGTGAGTGTCTCACGAAAATCTTTCATCAACGTCATAAAAGATGTTGAATGATTGGTGTAAAGAAGGACGATATCATCGCACGAAGAGTTACCATGATCGACTGTCTTTTCAATAACATTGTCAATAATATCGAAATCGATGGATTTAGGACAATCAGAACCGTCATGCTGCGGATTTACATACAAATTGATTTCTTCCTTTCGATTACACGAGTAATGCCAGAAACATAGTATTCCAATTACTGCCGATACAATTAACACAATAGCAATAATTGGCAACAATAGGTACAAAGTTGCGCTCAGCATCATATTTGATTTCGTCTGTTTCGATACGATCATGTCCTGTAGTTTATCGTAAGATTTCGTGCAGCCTAAAAATGTAATTTGCAAAACTATTCTGTATTTAAATAAAAATCTATTTGTAAAATACGTAAAATTTATATGCAAAGTTTTAAACTATTTCCTAATATGCTAATCGATAAAGGACATCAAATAGAAAAGCTGCCATTTTGTTATCTGTTAACTCTATTTTATAACATTACATGTTCATACTTACGCTGTACCCATAAACATGGCTCTTCATGTAATATTTTAGTTTCCGTATAATATCTGTAATATTCTGGCTTCCATATAGTATCTGGCTGGCATCGGTTATCAACCAGGTGATATCGAAAACAGTGACCTTCAGTTTGCGTTTCTATTTGAAAATTACAACGTACTCTCTTTATATATTTTCCGTTTACCGTTGGCTTTTCCTATTAAAAAATTTTTTTAAATATAATTTACATACATATCTGATGTGATTTAAAAAAATTATATTTACCAATTTTACACTACAATGATGATCTCTTAGTTCATTGTACGGAACACCAACTACTTTCTAAAAATAAAAATTTTAATAATGACAGCTGTTAAAAAAAAGAAACTGTATTTTGATAATTAAATGTTACCAGTCCAATTATCCATGAGTATAATATTGGTTCTCCTTGCCAAATACATTTTTGTTGTAGGTCTTTATTCCGCGGTGATATCAATTCCAGATGAAGGGAGTCTCCTGTATTTGCTGGTAGAAAAACATCTAATGTGAAATTTTTTACAACTTGTCTGTAAATATAGATATGCAATAGTTAGTTAATTTTATCAAAAATGGGTATGAGGGGACATTGCCTCAATGATCTTGACACATGTTATCAAAGTAACGACCCTGAGTAATCGTGAGTTTTAACCATCGGTCGTTGCTTATTAAAAAAAATTATTGACAAAATAAGTTTTTACAAATGCGGCCAATTATTACAATGTTGTAATGATTTTCTACGCAAAACGAGATCCACCACGACTTGCTCTCCCTCCCTCCCCCTTATCAGGGATGTATATTTTTTCTTTGCAAAACGACATCCACCCCATCTTTCCTCTGTCTAAAGAGACGTTCTACTTTCCAGATGAAGTAAAGTTCACATCTCTTCTTCACTGTTAAAAAAATCATTAGGTCATATGAAGGGGATGCTTCGCATAGAAAGTCGAACTCTCCTAGACATTGGGAGATGGGGTAACCTTGTTTCGTGAAAACAGTCCACGCATATACTTTACAACGCAAAACAAAATTCCACGTGTACAGTAATGATCATGAAAATAGAACTGTCTATATAAAAATTAATAATATCAGGAGACACGATAATATCTTGATGCTAAGGCAAGCGCAGCGACAGTAGTAACACTACCGTGTAATTTACGCGAAACCGCGAGTTTAGTCATTTTATTAGTAGTTTGCCTTCACTTGTCGGTAATGTTGTTCATTACACAATAGCAACAATTCAAATCAATTAAAAAGACAAACTATTGCCGAAATAAAGTGCATGTCGTATTGCAAAAATCTTGAAGTACCCTGTGCTTAAGTAATCTGGTCATAATAATAAAGCCAAATTATTATTGTTTAAAATGACAACTAATATAAAGCGAAAAATATTCACTGTAGAGCTAATGAGAAAATAAAAATTTTAACGCAATGAAGAAAAACCACAATAAAAATTATTGGTCGTTTTATAAAAATAGTGAAAAATGCATTAAATTTAAAAATAATCAAGAAACTTAAGGTCCTAAGAAAAAAACTATATCTTGAATTGATCATCAAATTATATGTATTTCTAAAATAGATTTATTCGAGAGTTATTAAATAAAATGAAAAATGACTTAAGCTTTCTTGTAAGTGCATGTACAATTCGACGAACACTTTAAGATTTAAACGATAGATCTGCTAGAAAAGTTTCACATTTAAGTTTGAAGAATGTGAAAAAAAAATTATAATTTGCAAAATTATGTAAAATAGAATGATAAAAGAAAATTAAAAATAGAGAAGTATTTTATAATCAGATAAAACTTAAGTAAATTTGATGGGATTTACTTAATTTATGAAATCACATTGATATTTCACAAATTTTTTTATATTAATAATAAACTTACATCAATAATTTGGCTGTATTATTATTATGACCAAACTACTTATAACACTTTAGGATTCTCGCAATACAATTTTGGATTTCGGCAATAATCTGTTATATTTTTGAGTTGACATAAATGGTTGCTGATGTACAAGAAATGACGTATTACCGTGAATACAGAAGGATAAAATAACTATTTTATAAATTTCTGTATAGTTGATTCTTTTTTCATAACCATCACTGTATATTTTATATTTGCCAAAATTAATTTTGTTAATGATGAGTAACAACCGACATTAAAACTTTTTCGAAGTCATGGCCACTGGGAGAGAATTCCCTCATTTTCATTTTTATCTTAATTCTTTTACATCAAGCTATTTTCTAATCTTTTTTTCGTTATCATAAGCTAAAATATTTTGATAAAATATCAATGAAAAAGTGTATAGTAGAAATATTTTATTATCAGACATACTTTGTTTCAGAATTAGAATGTCTTATATCCATATCTTTATATTTACAAAGGACTTGTGGTTCTTGAACTTCCGTTGGTTGATAAGTAGTGTTCAAAAATGAAGACTGTCCTATTATATATAAATTATCTATGCGATACCGCAATGCATAGCATCCTGTAAAGATATATCTGAACCATAGCCAGATATTATCCTGGAATATAAATTATTTCAAGTAAATTTAATAATGTATTTTATTATAACAATGAATAAAAGATGATATGATTATGCGTTTTTTATCGAGTTAATAACAAATATCAGTATAGATATTACGATCTTCTCGACATCCTAAGTACAATATATAAAATCGTAAATAAAATTTAATTTAATAACCAGTTTGGTTCACATGCTCTTTTCATTTTTATTGTTCAATTTTAATTATTTGAGCTTTTAAATTTAATAATTTCATTCTTTTTCTCTTTCTATTTTTACAACTTATTATTTTTAATAAGTTGTAAAAATATTAATTAATATGCACAAAACATATAATGTGTACAAATTAAATGATTAAATTTAATGTGCAGATCCAGCACATTAAATGCAATAATACATTACATGAAACATATACCTTATAATGTTTGTAATACACGCAAAAGTTTATAATTATTATTTATTCACATTGTACATTCGTCATTCATGTTCCTTATAATAAAACTTTGTAAATATATTTTATAAGTTACGTTTTACTTGTGAGCATTATTTCTAAATTTTTTATGAGCCATACATCCCACCTGTAAGTAGTCAAATATCCTATCAGTATATGTGAGATATATGGCAAGAATACAAGGGTTTCAAAAAGTTTTTTTATACGAAAAGTAAGTAACATATAAGCAAACAACTTAATTGATAATAAATCAAATTAATAAAATTAAGGCTACAAGCCATAAAATTATTGTTAAAGGTTTCACAAGTTTACAAGAATTTTTTGAGATTTTACATGTATGATCCCATACAGTAAAAAAATCTGTTATGGACCTCAATGTCTCAATTTTTAACTATGATTGAAAATTTCACGTTGCTGATAGAAGGGTATATATTACAGATATATCACGATATAGTTAGTACACAATTTTTTGGAACATTTTGTGTAACCATTGTTTAACATATGTTACTATGAAACGCGACATTCATTTACTGATTATTGATTATTGCAAGAAATATTACTAAAATCTCAGTGATCTATCAATGAGAATATATTTGAACAGAATGTAAAAGATCCAGCATCCCTATTCTGTAATTCTTAACGCAAGTTTCATTATCGTAATAGTGTTGCATAGCTTTTTATCATGATAAAAAAGCTGTGTGATGATGTTATAATAATTCTTATTAAAAGATGCTCTTATTAACATTATATTAAAAAATTATTCAATTGCTTGTATAATTTAATAAGTAATATTACTATTCTAGTTCTATACTCATGAATGTTTGAAAATTGAAAAAGATTTTGGTACACAATATGCAGAATCAGAATATATACATAACCATTTTATCATATCAAATTAATATTGTTTGTTACCTCATATAGCTGGACTACAGTTGATTTAGTATTGTATCCTACAAATTCTGATTGATTAGTGTTCTTAAAAACACATACACTTCTTTCCGCAGTATGTATGTTTGATTTAGTATTAATCACTTTTTCAAAGTCATATTTCATACATTCTTTTTCATTCTTAATTGAAGGATCAACTAATAAAGCTACTTCATACTTGCATTCCATTTTAGGGGGTGTAAACAGAACCTTTAAAGAATCTTAAATAAAAAATAAAAATATAATTAATAGATATAACTAGATCTAGTTAATCTAAAAAATTATTACATTTTAAAATATATAACATACTATGTGCATCTCCTTCCTTCAAATCATGTTGGTATACATTATAAATCTCATAATAAGGAACTTGGTTGTCAGAACAATAATTAAGAAACATAGAATTGTATTTAATTATGCTATAATCATTTTTCTCTTTAGGATATTTTGCTCTAAACTTGTACTGAAAAACAAAATAAGGTACAAGGTAAACATTAATATACAAAATGTATATCACTTTCAAAATGTTTGTCGTGTAACTCACATCACAGAGATCTTCTGAAAATCCATCTACTTGTACACTCAGAACAAATAAAAGAAGAGAAACACTATACATTATCTTTTCTTGATATATACAAATATTCCCTACGTTTTGAAACGCTGCGAGCAAAATCATACTACAGAACGTTATGATTAGCGAGTAGTATTCCAGCTATATATGAATATTTTATCCGCGATCCTTATTTAAAATAAATCTCCTTCATATATATATATATATAAATTTACATCTATCTGTATCTAACGAAATAAAACGCGAACTACATTTATGTTTCATTTACCACCTCTTTCGTGACCTTCATCATGTTTATAGGGCTAATTGCTAAAGATGCCCAAGGTACATACATTCATACACAGGCACAAACTAACAATGAAGGCCAGTGTTGCCAACCTCCGTATTATTAAAGATTGTATTCGCAGTAAAAAAAATTCGTATTATATATACATCGTATATATTTTGAAAATGAATAAAAGGTAAATTAATGTTTATTTTACTCTCCCCCTCCCCTCCCCTCCCCTGCCCTCGCCAGTATTGACAAAATTAGGCTTATTCGACGTGTTTTTGCATGAAACAAAGAATTTAGCAAAAAAGTGTCGCTCTGTTCCACGAACCGAGGTATTAATCGAATTTATTAGATTTATAGTACAATTTCACGAGTCGTTCAAATTGGCCGTTTCTAACTGGCCAAGCGTCAATTTTGACCGCGTGATCCTTTTCATCGCGGAAACGACCAGTAGGAGCGGTTCGTGAAAATGTACCTTCTCTACTTCGGCATCGTGTTATCAACATGGCGTTACCAATCAGATTCGCCGTTTTGGTATCTCTCATCCCCTTAGCAAAAACTCACGTCACTTGACGTATGTATGTATGTAATTATATACTACATACATTGTATGTACAACGCACGATCCATCGAGTTATCTCGTAGATTCGCAAAATAGCGAAGTCACACGCGCAGGAGTGAGATGGAGTGGAGTGTCTGCGCGAGCCGACCGTGTTGACATCTAGGAAGTTTAAGATGTCGGGGAATGTTTTGTGTTACGAGCCGCTGGTATAATCGCGGACGAAATGACTTGCTCGTTGTGGCGCCCGTCTAGCAAATTCCGGCCTAAGTTAAATCCCAAAGTGCTGTAAGAGGTTTGCGCCGCCGCCGCCGCCGCCGGTGGGACCGTGCCAGGACTGCCAGGTCGTCGTCCAGTCGTCATTCGAATCGCCCCTGACGCCGTCGCCTGCCGTCGCCTGCCGTCGCCTGCCGTCGCCGAGCGGGGAGTACGAGATAGACCGAGGGCAAGAGGACTGGTGCATACTGGTGCATATACGGTGTATGTGTGTGTGTGCGCGCGTACCACTGCCAGGACCTGAAGGTATCTCTGAGAGGCCGCGTTCCTCTTTTCTCACCTTTCTTCCCGGTCGTACCGCGAGCGGACAGGTGAATTTCATCACCGGGAGAGATAGACAGAATAGGTGGACGCGCGGTGGAGGTGGAACGCGGGACGACACACGTGGTGACGATTTTTGCACATTCATCTCGCAGTTGTGATGGGAGCCAAGGCGAGTACCGTGGCACAATCCGCTGGTGGCAACGGTCAGTCCTCCACTGGGGCCAATGAGACCACGATGCAGGGCTTCTCCATGCTTCGCTCTCTGCCTGGTGGAGTGGGTATGCTTCAGCATCAACACCAGCAGGCGAATCAGTCACAGAACTCGCGTATGTCTGGAGACAGTAGACAGCGTGCACGTTCCCTGAGTTCCGTGCCAGATCTCTCTTCTGCTGAGCAGGCTAGTCTCTCCACCTCGGTCGGAGTAGGGGTCGGCCAGGCCCTTGGCCTGCCTCAGCTCGACTCCGACGACACGGATGAAGAAAGCGGTCGCGTCTACGCCGCTCACAGCTTGCCTTCGCACATTTGGTCCCTCAACGGTAAGCCCACATCTACATCTTTCTACCTCTGGAAACTGCAGCTTCCTACCCTCCTGCAGGTCGTTCAACTTATACGCGCGTTATTGTATAGCACATGTTATTTCTTATTAAGAGTCAACAAATCGTCATTGTATCGCGTTTACACGTGTAAATCATTCAATAATTCTCTATTATTCTGTATCGAGAGAAAGAGCGCTGTACAAACGATACGAGATAGAGTCGCATCTGATCGTTCGTTAGTCCCAATCATTCGTCATTGATCTGTCTTATGTTTATTCGCGTGACAGGATTATTTCTTAGTCTGTGCCATCAAACAAGAGACGCGTTTTAAAAGGTCTCGCGAGGCGAGGCATAAATCGGTGGTCTCTAACCTAATTGCGATCGAGCGCCGCAAAAAAGCGAGGTTAGGTCGCGCAACCGCGAAAGCTCCGCAGACGGAGTTGGTGCGCGACGATGATTCGCGGGTGGGACAGGGGGCGTTTGTTTTGACGCGTGTGTTGTCGGGGTGGTTGGCCCGGTAACCGCGTACCACAATCGATGATAGCTCGAAGAGCTATCATCAACGGGGCCTAGGTAAATTTTGAATCAGCGAAAAATATCCGTGGCGTAAAGGGAAAAAGAGGAAAAGGGACGTGTCACGACTCGCGTAAGGATCACACGCGGGTAGAAAAAATGAGGTTCGGGAGAGAATCGCCGCGCGGGACAGCGGCCCACGGCTGAGGTTATGTCGGGTCTATTATGGGAATTATCGTGAGCTCGTGCCTGAACGAGCACGAGGCCGAGGCTGTAGTCCCAGTGGATCGGGTCAGACGGGTCTTTTACGGTATTTGCGCCCTTCTGATTTGCAATCCTTCTTCATTTCCCTTCGCACGCTTTTCGTCCTGTTGTTTTTCACATTCTTCGCCTTCGTGTTCAAGGTCTAAAGTGTCCTGTATGCTCCAAGTTTATTCTGCCGGATGATATCGAGTGTCACCTGGTCATGTGCCTGACCAAGCCACGACTCAGTTACAATGGTAAGTAGACCGAGTGGTGACAAGCTTGTTTATCTATCCTGATTAACAATAGATATCATTTCTTAAATTTCTCTTGTTTACTAGTCGGCGAATCGTTTGCCTCAGAAGTGATGCTTATCTGATTTAATTAATTAACTGGTGGTAATTAAGTACACCTTTGCTTGTTTCCATGACAGAGGATGTATTGACGGATGGAAAAGGCGAATGTGTCATTTGCTTGGAGGAGTTACAATCTGGAGATCTAATAGCCCGCTTGCCCTGTCTCTGTATATATCATAAAAAGTATGTATGATATAATATCATTTATTTATGTTATCTTAATTCCTCATCTAACATATATTGTAAAAAATATCGATATGGTTTTGTAATTCTTGCTGTTTATATCAATATTATCATGATATGGATTTAAAAACCATGATGTTAAATTCATGTCATGTTAGTATTGATATTGACATTAACATGATAAGAATTAATAGATACCACATTATATTAAATCCACACTGATATTATTTTTAGAAATTTTTTTTTGTAAAACAGAAAATATATTAAGAATAGACCTGTCTGCGTTGCTTAAAATCTCCAAAAAATTTTAAAATAAAATTAATTTTATTCAGGCGTTAAAAAAAGAAAATGTTGAATGCAAATAACGCAAATGGTTGTTTAATTATCCTAAAAAAATTGACTAAAAAAATATAAATTACTATAAATATTATAAAATATTAGTATTATCTATCACTTTTTAATTTTAAATATTAAAGTGTAATAAATAATATTGTTTCTTCAAAAATGAGAAAAAAAATATTTTTAGCTTAATAAATAATTATTGATTGAAACTAATATCGAGAAAAAGAAGGCTTGCAATGCATGTTTTCTTACGTGATTGCATTTTAGTAAATTACTAGAAATTATGTATGTTCCGTGTAGTACAATTCTAGTAATTTACTAGAACACAAGCAATCTAGCAAGGAAACATGCATCCTGTGCTGTTGACTTTAGAAATATGTTGAGAAGTCTTTTTTGTTTCAGAACTACTTTTTTTCAGTGACTTCGATATTTTACAAAATTATAACAAATCCACATAAATATAATGAAAGATAATAATAATTGACTCGTATGATTTAAAAATCTTAGAAAGTGTAAAGCCTAATCGAGTCTTGAAAACAAGATGTTAATGTTTATTATATTGTGTGAATTTATATACTGTGTATGTAGTCCCCCCCGCGACGCTGATAGATTTTCAGCATTGACATATACATATTCACTACCGCAGTAATATCACTTAGTTAAATTGAGAATCAATCTAACCAATTTTTGATGCCTATAGCATCTTATTAGATCTTAATAATATGTTGAAAGACATATATTAAAATTTAATATTAAAGTAATAATTTAAAATCTGGGAAAAATAAGATTGTGAAGAATATCACAAGTTGGTGTTTCGTCCCGGCTTCCACTACTGGACTCATCAGTAAGATAATGTAGTGGGAGCCTACCTTAGACGCCTGGGAAGATGTTAGAAAGAAGTTCTATATAAACAAATACTCATGTAATTCGGCACTTGCGAGAAATGGCATGAGTAACTATAGACCTCTGTTGGGTTACACAATATGTATGCATCAATGCTGAAAATCTATCAGCGTTGCAGGGGGGACTACATATGCAGTATATAAATTCACACAATATAATAAACATTAACATCTTGTTTTCAAGACTCGATTAGGCTTTATACTTTCTAAGATTTTTAAATCCACATAATATAATAATAATAAAGATAATAATTAATCAAAAGTTATAACTTGAAATATCACCAACACTTTTTATATTCATCTAATGTATTCATGATATATGTAATAATTCGAAATTTATTTTAATTTGATCACCTTTGAAGTAAGAAAACGATATATAGTGTTGAAGTGGTACTTATTATATTATAAATACGAATAATTAATTACTTAATAAATTACATATATTACCTTCAGTTACTTATGTATACTATAATATGATAGAATAAAAAATACAAAATTTGATGTTTCTTCTCCAGCTGTATCGATAAGTGGTTTCAAGTGAATCGTAGCTGCCCTGAACATCCTGGAGATTGATTTGTACTTGCTGAACTTGGTGGAGTATAGTGGAACAAGTTGCTAGCCCAATGGACATTTACGTCGATGGGATTGAGGTGGCAGGAAATGGCAAAAATTGTAAAAGAAGCTAGTCAAGGTGGCTGCTAGTCTGCAATGGTGATTGGTGCGTGTGGTGAATTGTTCGACTGAAAGAGACTCACTCATCAAATCGAACATACAGAAACACAGATGTTTGATTAAATCCTCAATTCTACTATTGTTAAGTGGAGGACTTAAATAACAAAAAAAAATCGCCATAGGATTCAACGATACACAATGCTATTATCTATACGTATCTATAATTAATCTATTATTGCTCTATCGCTTAATATCAATTGTACTATATTTATAAATTTTACTTAGTTTTACATCTTGAACTCAATTTAGCGCTTAAGCAGGACAATCTTTATTATTATCAATCATGATTTCTTCTTTTCTTATTCTTTTTACGATTCTTTTTTTTTTTCTTTCTGGCAAAGAGGGACTGGACGAATCTTAGTCAAGGAAACCTGCATACAAGCAGATGAGCTCTACTTTAGATAAGTTAGTTATATACTTTAATTGACTTTTAGTATTGAAACGATATATCGTAATTTCTGTTATCTGTTGGGGAATGAGTGCTAGAAAGGATATTTTTGATACTTTCATAAAAAAAGGGAGAGCCAGAATGTGTATAAGAGTTTCGAACGCTGGAGATGATGACGTAACACTGTTAATGCTGTAGTAACAATAAAAGTTCTGATTTAACCTTCCTTACTGAGATTCATACTAATGTGATAATCTCTTTTGTTGTTATTAGAAAGAAATGACACGTTCCGTGTTACCGAGATGTACAGTCTATTGTCGATTACTGAGGATTACCTACTGTATAATTAATCTCTTTTGTATGTGGATAAGGATCGACATAACCCAGCAGAAGTAGTTTTTGTAATACGAACAATCAAAGTCTATCATTGTTCCGATAATATATACGCAAAATCGTATATGTTCGGCTCGGATTTGTCTTTGCGTGCGATTTAAACATACAAACTAACAAAGCAATGGGACGAATACGATGAGAACAGAAAAGCGAGAATGGTACGGTGTAAAAACAAGAAAGGGGAACTAGAAATAAATTATATTAATAAAATCGACCGTGCAAACACAAAGTATGTACATATATATGTATATACATATATATATATATATATATATACACATACTCTCGCGCACTTTCTCTCGACAGATATTTAAATACTAACCAAGCTTAAAACACTTTTCACTAATAAACAATATACTAATTGAAAAATTCCACGAGTCACTAAAAATCATTCGTTGGACTGCAAGCAGTCTTTAAAAAAAATTAATTCGGAGCTTCTAAAATGTGTTTATTATTGTAAAAGAGAGAGTATTGAAATGAATAAAATAAATAAGTATGTAAAAAAGAAATATCTCTGTATTCAAGAAAAAGTGCGCGAAGCCTAAGACATCCTGTATGTATATATATGTACACCTTTTATAAGCTATATGAAAGATAAGTGGCCGTAGAGACAACAAGCTCGATTTCGTAAAGAAATAAAAAAATGAAAAAAAGAAGGAGGAGGATGTAACATTGGTAATAGCGATAACAATATTGCAGGAAGATTTTTCTTTGTATTTTGTTATTAACCGAGGACGAGGAAATTGTGTCTCGCGGCTGGTCGTTTATCGATTTTACAATGTGTGTAACGTTCCGTTGTATGCGACGATTATACAAAGACGGAATGCGAGGAAGAAAGCGGAAAGTAATCGCGCGCACTGGAGAGACGCAAATAGATCGCATGCATTTTACGACGCGACGAAAGGCAAGGAGCATGTGCGTTGCATATGTAGTGTGCGTCGAAGATCGTAACACACTCTTGCACCGCACGTGCTTGCCTCGCTCTTGATCTCGGTAGCGGTATTTCGTATTGCGAATCTGTTTATATTTTAGTTGTATGTACCTTCTTGCTGTATTAACAAAAAGGAGGCACTATATGTGTGTATTCGAAGGCGGTAACAAGGTGCTGTAACTAAAATAATAAATAGAATCAACGATACCTGTTTAATTACTCAAGAAAGAAACGCACGAAATATAATAATAATAGGATTTTATGTACGTTTTCATGTCTATACTTTTTATTTTCTGTGTGAAATACCTCTGAATTAACATGTATTCAACTTTCAATATTAATTGGCGAATTTTATATTATAAACAATATTTTAAATTTTAAGACTTTGACTTTGTTTCTCATTGGTTGTGTTTTTAAATTATAATTCTGTTAAAACTAAAACTACTTTGTAATTTAATTCTGTCTGGAACTTTGCCAGATATCCCTAATTTTTAATTATTCGACGACTGTGTAATATACTTTTAGATAAAAATAGATTCGAGATCATTTAAAGGATTCATCGAAAGAGACGCTTCGTTATTGTGATATCTTTTATTGAACTGTGTCATCTCACTGTAGTTATCTTGCGACACTTCTTGTTGATTTAAGATATATGATACGGAATTTCTCTACCTGAAGGACTGTAACAGTAACGATCTGATTATCATCAAACAAAATGTGAGAGCCCGAAAGAATGCGTCTAATCTAGCTCTGTAGTATAAAGAAAATGAAATGCGGTGGAAGGCGGTGGAAGCCTAAACTCGCAGGATTGTAACTGTGGACACACACAGGTTGTAATGAACCATTTGTATGTACGACACTATTGACTTAAATATATAGTTTATAAGCTATGTTCGATTTACGAGATGTTTAATTTTAGGAGCTGATTTTATTTTATTTGTAGCAGAACGCGATGAATCGTGCGATTGTGGTAATTATGGGTAAATGTTGCGAATGATTATTATACAAAGACGATAAGTCTTGAAAATTTTTCATTCTTCGATCATATAATCTGATTTTGCTTTATTAAAAGTTAAGTTGAACAATATTTTTTTTAATATTAAATCGAAATAAAATAATTTTGTTTAATATTAGATTAAAACGAAGATCTGTTTAAATAAAATTTATGTATGATTTATAAAAGATTAAGATTTGATCGTTTAAACATTTATTCATGAATATATTATATTATAACTCGAAGATAAAACTATCTTTTCAGATGATTACTATAAGTTTTTATTACTTTGTTATTTTTGTCTAATTATGAATTTCAATTTAACTGAAAATAGATGCATTACACAAATATGTATACATTGTGTATCATATATATTTGATGAATGATCATAAAGATATTTTACTTTTTTGTTTACTCTATGCAGGAAATTCTACTCTACTATAATATTTTTTTTAGCTAAATATTTCAGAAATATTTCGAAACATTTACGCTGTAAGAATGTTTTAAATCATGTTGGAGTTAATGAATCATCTTACCAAGAATATTTTGTGTAGGATCTGGCTTTTTCTTACCTGCTCTTAGAAAGTTCCATTCGATTCTTTTATTATTCAGACAAAAGACACAACCTCTTCTAAATTTGCCTAAAACCAACAAAAGATGTACAATTTCAGCTTGGTATATAATTTTTCATTATTTCTTCAAATCGTCGTATGTTATATAACATTTATCATGTCAGAATAGAATTTCGGCCATTTATCATGATTGTTATAATAGCAAGTCAATAATAATATAACAATTAATCCATCGATGTTTTAAAAAAATTTGAGAATAATTTACAAAATTACCTAACACTGAAATATAGAAACTGAATTAAAAAATTTAAATTAGTTAATTACTTTTTAATTCGGACTTAGTACATAAACGTGATACAAGACACAGTATATAATAATTAATACGTTAATGTTACGTGTAAATGTTAAATATAAATTAAGAAAAAAAATTTAATAAGTTATATAGAGCAATTAAAACTAAAATTCGCCATTTTGATTATTATTTTGAATGACTAATGGTTTTTCCTTTTTTTTCTTTTATTGTATTTATTTAAATTGCTTTTCTTTTAATTGTATTTCTACGTTTCCGCCCTAAGAGAATCATTTGTTCCACTTTTCGGTAAATTTTATCTGTTAAGTAAGTAGTAAGATTATCCAATCACATGTGTGGATCGTCACATTTACTGAACAGGTAAAATTTACCAAAAGATGTGGAACATCTGGCCCTAAGAAAAAAGTTTTACGATCGACTCTCAGGAGTCTCAGGTAGCAATTCTAGCCAATTCTAACAACAATGCAGAAGCATTGGAATGTTTTACACTCTATCTAGATTTCTATCATGATTGTTTGAATTCGTCAAAAGTAAATATAATTTTTATTAATCAAAAGTTATAATTATTTCATTTTAATGAAAAAAAATGCAGTAAATATAAATATATTTAATAGAAGTACGTACGTGTTTTCCAAAAATTCCAGCCAAGTGATAAGTCCACAGGAAGTGGTTTGTAATTCGTTTTTCATATAAAAATTTACTAGAAAATCTATATACTATAGTATCTTCATACATTTTCATATGCGATATTTTATTGAAAATATGACTAATCATATAAACGAGAATGAATTGAAATGGATTGAAATGTACTTAGAAATGTGTACGCATTTGTGAACGTTATAAAATAATAAATCTTTTTCTTCAATTCTGTCGAATACAATTTTTATTTATTTATAAGAAAAAAAAATTGCATAAAGTATATTTTCTATATCATTTTTAATCTAAAAATAATATCAGCTTTTTCTGTACGTGGTAAATATTGCTCGATTCAAAATTCTAAATAGGAAATGCTTGAAAAAGCTTTTCAATCCAATTAAATCTTATTAAATAAAAATAATCTTTATTCAATTAAATTTAATGGACTTAAAATATGAAACGATTATACGCATGATTCAATCCACACTTTAATCCATTTTTAATTACTGGAAAAATTGAATTTGCAGTAGACTCAAAACGTTCGGCTGGAATTTTTGGAGAAAATACTTCTTGTTTTTATTAAATACATTGATTGTTTTTTTTTCATTAATATACATTAATTAAATTCTTAATAAAAAATTGTGTTTATTTTTTTACGAATTTGAACAATTATGGTGTAAATCCAGATAGTATGAAACATTTCAGTGTTATTGCAGTGCTGTTAAATGTATTAGAGTCTTATTTTCAAAAAATTTATGTTTTTCTCAAAAGTAAAAAAAATGACCTCACATTTAAAATCATTCCAAATCTGAATATGGGCGGTTTTAAAATTTCAGCCAATAAAACAATCATAAATCGTTCTATGTATTTAAAATTGTACATCGGTTTACAGGCAAATAGAGTCACAATAATTATAATTTAACGATACTTATAGTATTACATTTAATTCGTGATCCAACAATTACGAGCTGCTCCGGACGTTTCGGCAATAGTTTTTTGCCATCTTCAGCGGTGGATGTTATCCATTCGTATTTAGATTGAATTCTTATTAAGTTGTCTAAGTATAAGCACAATCATCGGCCAATAAAATTCCTCAGCTTATTGGTAACAATATTGCTGTCTGAATATTATAAAAAATGTTATAATTTACCTCTTTAGTTCATTTGACCAATTATTATATATGCTTACCCTTAGATTAATAATGTATCACATATTCGCATACACAGAAAATATACGTACTCTCCAACATAATTATTATTTAAAATCAAATATCTCACTTTAATTTAATAATATAATTTTAAATATAACAAATATGTCTTAAGCAAAATAATTGTATGTTGTTAATCTTATGGTTATACACATGTTATACTGAAGGAGAGAAACTAAAAATTAATCATCATACTTAGATAAATTCAATCTAAATACGAATGGATAACATCCACCGCTGAAGATGGCAAAAAACTATTGCCGAAATGTCCGGAATAGCTCGTAATCGTTGGATCACAATTAAATTAAATGTAATAAGTATCGTTAAATTATAACTAACATTGTGACTCTATTTGCCTGCAGTAAACTGATGTACAATTTTAAATACATAGGCTATTTTATATTTTGATTTTTAATTGCGAGAGTCGTTAACTTGATATATTGTTTCAATATTTGAAGTTTTTTTTTTTTAACTATTATAAATCGTTCTGCTATTGGATAGCGAAGATCGCAAGTCTCCTTCTATCACTGAACTTTTGCACCCTTTTGTCTTTCCTTTTTCCCTCTCCTATTGAAGAGAAAAAGAGAAAAAATGAATGATGCAAGAACTTTAGCTGAAAAGAGAAATTTGTCCGCATTGCTTGCACTTTTTGCATTCATATCTTTACTGGTCTCTCTCTCTCTCTCTCTCTCTCTCTCTCTCTCTTTCTCTTCAATATTCGAAAATATATTTATCTTGTTTTAAGTGCAAACATTTTTGAGGATTTCAAATAACGCGAACAGATGATCCATGAATTGATCAAAAATACGCTCATAGAGATCAAATAAAATGATTGGCTATCTCAAGCGCATTGTGATGAGGAGGGGAGAGGGAGAGGACCGTTGCTCGAACCACGTTGTGGTTGGTCGATGCGGTAGCCTCAGGGTGGTTTGGAGGTTATAGTGAGTGTCCGGCGAGAATCGGGTTTTGTTTGTGGGTAGCGCGCGAGTTGTTCAGATCGGTGGTGGCAGACAGTGGCAGACGCATTTCGTCGTTGCAAACAGAAGGACGCATATCAAGCTTGATACGGGTGGCGGCGCATCTACCGCAGCTACCGTGTAACACGTGAATTCGGGCTGCTTACACATTTTACGTACGGTAAAGTGGACTCGATGTCGATAATATGTCGGCTACGAGCAACGTTAGGACGACGCGGATGCACAGGATGGCCTGTCGGGCCGTTTGACGATTATTTATGAATTCACGGAAAGATCTGAGGAAAGGATACTCACGGTACAACAACAATAATATCAACAACAACAACATGGTGAAGGAGAAGGCAAATTCGATCCGCATGTATGACTCGGAGGGCTACAGACGTAGGGCCGCCTGTATCTGCGTCAAGAGCGATCTCGAAGACGAGGTAAGCAAGCTGGCAGATGGCAGCCACCTGTATCTTTGTCGGCACGCGGTCGTTGCGCGTGCCATGCTTGAGCCGGCTAGTTTTAAGTTTTCTCTCTCCACACAAGAGTTGGTTTTTCGTCCGATCATTGATCGACCTGGACTTGTTTCGTTGAGGTCGACAAATGAATTGAATTCTTTTTTTTTTTTTCTCGCATTTAGTCTCACATGCACCATGGACTTTTACAGGTATTACTAGTTACGTCCAGTCGAAGACCTGATAGTTGGATAGTACCAGGCGGCGGGGTTGAACCTGAGGAGGAACCAGCAGTCACCGCTCTTCGCGAGGTCCGGGAGGAAGCTGGTGTTTTAGGACAATTAGGCCGTTGCCTTGGCACATTTGAGGTTATAACTCGTGATGTATGCCACACAGATATTATGTTATACTTATAATCCTTTAATATCATATTTTCTTTTTTTTTTTATTAATGTACTATACATATAACTAAATCATAAGCTACATTCAACAGAAAGAACAACTTTGTAAGATTCTTTGATATAATTGGTTTATATATTTAGATCTATTGAGTAATTAAATAAAGAAGTCGGTGTTTTTTAACTGAACTTGTTTTGCTCATCTTTCTTTTTTCTCTGATGCAGAGAGAAAAAAAGAAAAGACACAAACTTTGTAAGTTTAGCTAAAAAGAACAGGTTTAACAACAAATCATATTAAAGATAGATAGCATTCAGGAGCTTTACAATTGTAAAATTTTTTAATGATCTGACCCTTAATTCCTTACTAGATTTAAATTTATAAACTAATCATATTAGAGAATCTTATAACTGTGTTGCAGAGTTGCTGTTGAATAAAGTTATAGTCCCAAGATATGTTTGTGTTGCACATTTTTGCACTCAACATGTTTGCTTTTTCTCTCTTTAACATTTTACATGGCTTTCCTTTTACAGAACACAGAGCACAAACACCGAACGGAAGTATGGGTTATGCGGGTGACCGAGGAGCTGCCGGAGTGGGAAGATTCGCGCGCTATCGGCCGGAAGCGAAAGTGGTTCACCATACCAGAGGCCCTGCTGCAGCTTGGTCAACACAAGCCCGTCCAGCGCTCTTATCTACACAGCCTCCATAATACCAATCCACGACATAATCCCACCTCTCAGCTGTCCAATCATTCGCACTCCACAATGGCGTCTATTGAACTAATGAATAACTCTAGCAACAATACCCATTTGAGTGAACATAGCTAATACCGTCGCGGATTAAACCTGTTTTTTAATCCAAAATTCGACCGCCATGGATTCTCTCTGAGCAAAAATTTGCTGTTCTCCTTTCTTCCCTAAAGGGAATTCATTATGCAACTCTACTGTTGTGTTTTATATATATAAATTGATATTATATCTATGTGCTTATCTTTATCATTATATTCTTAGGTTAATTATTACGATTATTATAACGTTTAGTCTTAGATTGTTGATAAATCGGTTCGTGAAGGAACATCTTTTCTTTTTTGAAATTATTTTCATTTCTGATATGACTTTTTTTTATCGAACGCGCGAAAAGAGTGATTAAGCTAATTATTTTATCATTATTATTTAGTGTTTGTGCCTAATATACGTAGAATGCCATACACGTAATCCTTTTTCATGTATCGCATATCCTTGCTATACAGCTGCACGAACTTTTTCTACATTTTGTCGAGGCGAAGCGGAAAAGTTGCGTTGTACTTGTTACTATACAGACGATAAATTATGTACTTTGTATATTAACTTCTTGAATAAATTTTGTAATGATTTCTGCGAATAAGATACGCGCGGAGCTGCTGCTCTATACCCTCCGTCTGTAGAAAGAAAACTCAAATTTTCTGCAAACGTAACATGGGTTCATTGATATTTTGCTACTTACAGCACAAGTTTCTCGAATAACGTATATGAGCTTTGTATATCTATAATTTTCTCTATTTTTTTTTTGCAATTTTTGTGATGACAATTTTGTATAACATTAGGTTTTCTAAATTTCTGTAGAAGGAAAGGATTTAAGGAGAAAGTGAGCAACTTTTGTGTAGCAGACTCTATAATATGAACATTAAATTTTTATTATTTAAATAATTATATATTTTATTTAATTCTCTTTATATATGCATCCTAACGTACAATACTGTAAGAAAATTATAGGTATTGTCACTCCATGTAATAGTAGGAGAAAATTAGCGCGGCCAGAGAGAAACCTGAGGGAGGACATGACGACCTAAAACCTGTAACCGCAAAATGCTGCCGCGCACTACTGCCCTCTGAAGAAGTGGATGTGAACTACATGCAAAATCCACTATTCTGAGGATAACGCATCTACATTTCAAGACTGATGGTAAGTAGATATTCGCGGTTCGTATAATCGTATTCGCGCTACATAAAATGTGGATCAGAATAAATATTCTTCTCTACAATTATATGTATGTTAACTTACATGCGATTAAAGCGATTAATTGCCGGGATCATATATGTATATATAACTTATTTAAAATATAAACACGCGCGATATATTTTAACACATTTGTAAAAAAAAATGGGTGTAATGTACAACTTTAATGTTAATACTTTTAAGCTTAATAATAAACATCACGCGCATGGAAGTAAGCATACATATAATTGCAGAGAAGAATATTTATTCTGATCCACATTTCATGTAGCGCGAATACGATTATACGAACCGCGAATATCTACTTACCATCAGTCTTGAAAATTAGATGCGTTATCCTAAGAATAGTGGATCTTGCATGTAGCTTACATCCACTTCTTCAGAGGGCAGTAGTGCGTGGCAGCATTTTGCGGTTACTAGGCCGCCATGTCCTCTCTCAGGTTTCTCTCTGGCGCGGCTTACCTAGAGTCCCTAGAAGTAGGACTCTAGGGACTCTAGGCTTACCTGACAGTAAGCGACATCTGTGATTCGTCTTCTACGCGTTATTACTATCGATTATATCGACTTTAGTAACTTTAGTTCACTGAGTCGAGTCGAATTGCGGCGGCGTCCTTGCTCCGGAAACGACGTCTCCTATTACCTACTAATATATACTATAGACAAATGTATGATAATCATTAGCCTCGTGGTTGTTGCAGTAACCTCTAATGCTGGTGAAGAGCTAATTTAATTAATTTTATATTTAAAAATAAAAATATTAAGTAAATTGATAAAAAAAATAACTGCAAAAATAATTACAGGTAAAAGTAAAACACATAATAGGATATATCATATATCTAAGAAAATGAAGGAAGAGCCAATGGAGGGTGTCGCTAACGAGGGCGAGAGCAGTGAGAGTAGTGACGAGTCTATAGAGGACGGGAATATAAATGGAAGCCAAAAGGAAACCAAATCGCAAGTGTATCTTCCAGGTCAAGCTCTGCAAGAAGGAGAGGAACTTACTGTGGATGATTCGGCATACAAATTGTTGCATCATGCACAATCTGGAGCACCATGCCTCAGCTTTGACGTGATACCAGATGATTTGGGTAATTCCAGAGAGAGTTATCCCTTAAGTATGTACATAGTCGCTGGAACACAAGCTGGCAGGACACACATCAATAATCTCCTTGTTATGAAAATGTCTAATTTATATGGTAATAAACATTCTGGTGACTCAGAAAGTGAATCAAGTGATTCAGAAGATGAAGATAAGAGTAAGCCCGTCATGAGTGTTGCTCCTATTAAACATCAAGGATGTGTTAATAGAGTGAGGTAAATATTCTAGAAAAATCACATCAACAATTGATTGTGGAATATATTGGGTTAGAAGAAAAGTTTTACGATATTTTATTACTTCAAAATTAGATATTGTACATTTAAAAAATTAGCAATTATATCATTTGATAGAGCAAAGTTTCAGCTTTAAAAATCTGGCTTTAATTACAGTACAATGATTTTTAACAGTTATGCAATTTAAATCAAAATGTTCTCTTATTAAACTCGTGAATAACTCAGGAACAAATATTGTAGAGGAACATTTTTAAAAACAAATTTTTAGGAAAACTTGAAGCTCTCACGTTAGATAGTTAAAAATTTTCGCAAATTATTTTTTGGTACATAACAGATCCACAAAGTGAAAAGACAAATTTCTCTTTTTTTTAGCTTATAGTTATCTATATAGTAGTAGTATTTATCTATGTAGTAGTAGTATTTATTACACTTTATCTTTACAGCCAAGAAAAGGAAACTTGGTTTACAAAAAATCTTAATCCATTCATGACCCATGCACACATACATTCTTTTCTATCATCCAAAACTTAACTTATGACTAGTAATATGATAATATAATATAATACAGAGAGAGAGAGAGAGAGAGAGAGATATTTTAACAAGTAATTAACTTCTTATCCTATTCTATATCTTTGAACATTTTATATTATTTTCACAGCCTCAGTCCCGTCACAGTTATACTGTGGTCCCGCTAAACAAACCACTAACCCTTTTATAAAACAAACATCCACTCTTTCCTATCCTTACCCTTTTCTATTATTAACTCTCTCGCATTATCTCTACAATTAACTTTGATCCTTCTCTCTTTTCTTTTAGGTACATTCCTTTTCTTTCCATAGCTTCCATAAAATCCCCCCCTTTTGTTTTACCTAGATTTTCATCTCTAAATTCCTTATTCTTCCCTAACTCTTGAAATCAAACCCTTACTTTCACACAATCTCTCACATAATATGCCTTCCAACAAGCAACACAGTACAATGTATATATAATTTTGCGCTAATAAAAACTGTAGAACTTTTCAACCCAATATATTTGCATACATTTTTTTATTTGTAATATTTACAGATGTAGTAAAATTGGTGGAGGAATTCTAGCCGCCAGCTGGAGTGAACTGGGACGTGTAAATATCTGGAACTTGCAAGAACAGTTGAGCGCAGTTGAAAATCCCAGCTTGCTGACTGCATATCGTAATAAGTATGATAAAGGGAGTACAGACATTAAGCCATTGTACACATTTAAAGGCCATTTATCTGAAGGATTTGGCCTTGATTGGAACTGCATAGAGCCTGGCACTCTAGCATCCGGTGATTGCAAAGGTAACATTCACGTATGGCGAATCGACGTCAGTGGCGCATCCTGGCATGTAGACCAAAGACCGTACAATTCGCATGCTCCACACAGCGTGGAAGATTTGCAGTGGTCACCAAGTGAAAGGAACGTTCTGGCATCATGTTCCGTAGACAAAAGGTATTTGTATTTTCTATAAAATATTTATGTATTTTATATTATCGTGATGAGGAAAGGACAATGGACTCATTATGAATTTTGATACCCTTTAATATGGTAAATCTATCTCAAAAATAAATTATCTAAGCGTTTTGTTGAATGGTTCTTGTTAATAGCATTTTTTAACGTATAAAGAAACCCCGCAATAATTATATGGAAAATTAATTAAACGAGTTTTCATATATAATGTAGCTTATAATGTAGTGAACAAAAGACTCAAGGTTCAATAATGGATAGTTTTTGAGCTATGGTATATCAGAGATGTAAAACTTGTATTCATAGAGTATTTTTGATACGCTATAGTTCCAAAACTATCCATTATAGTGAGATTTGTGTCTATAGCATTTTTTTTATTACTACATTACAAGTGAAAACTAACTTATTTCATGGGGACTCAATTTTTTAATAATTAGTGTGGGATTTTTTCATTAAAAAATACTACAAGATCCATTTTATAAAATGCTCAGACACAACTTATTTTTTATGTACATTCACATTGAAAGAGATCGAAATTCGTGACAAGTCTGCTGTGTCCTCTTCTTGTGAATAAAATTGAGAATTGAATATTATTGCTTCGCAAATTACTATAAAGATTATTTGATTTCAGCATAAAGATTTGGGACATACGAACAAGTCCACAGAATGCATGCGTGTTAACAGTGTCTGGTGCTCACACGGCTGATATCAATGTTATCTCGTGGAATCAGAAAGAGAGCCAGTTTATGATATCAGGCGGAGACGATGGTATGCTCTGCATATGGGATTTGCGACAGTTTGGATCTAATGGTGCAAGTCCAGTTGCTACTTTTAAACAGCACACCGCGCCAATTACTACCGTGGAATGGCACCCCACAGACGCCACAGTGTTTGCTTCCGGCGGAGCTGATGATCAAATCGCTCAGTGGGATTTGTCGGTAGAAGCAGATCACACAGGAGAACCTCAAGACAGAGTGTTAGCTAAGTTACCGCCACAACTACTGTTCATACATCAGGGTCAGTTAGATATCAAAGAGTTGCACTGGCACCCGCAATGTCCAGGAACTATAATATCGACCGCAAATTCAGGATTCGATATATTCCGTACGATTAGTGTCTAATAAAATACTGTACTCTCTAAGAGAGGTAATATATAAAAAAATATTTTTTTAAGAGATTGTGAAAAACAATATATTATGTAAAATATATTTACAAGATCTTTTAAAATTTTTTAATTTCGATAATCAAGACTTTGAAGATGGACTTTGATGAATTATTTACTTATATTTAAACACAAATGTCTTCACAAAATATGTTCGTTAAAGCATCGCAAGTTATTTGTTTATTAGTAATAAAGATAATAGATGTCTTATAGTAGGCCTTCCATGCGGACAACTCCATGGGTTCTGCATTTCTATCATTTGCGTTATCAGTCTCTGCATCTCACTAAAGTTTAATGCTGTACCGATCATGACCGCGCTGCGACATGCTCTGGACGCTAACATTTGCCTCACACGACTGGGACGATACTTATGATTAGCCATGGTTTCGTTGCCTGCTTCTCTAATGAGAAACACCAATTCTTCAATGTCGTCTTGACCAAACTGCCAATGACCACTAACAGGTATTCCTATTAATTCTATTTTTTTACCAGGTTCAGCTACAAGTTGTAAAAAATAATTGCGCGCATGATGAAGAAAATTGTAAATTTAATATTTCATCGCTTTTTGCTCATTTTTTTTTTTTTTTTTTA